CGCATTTACAGTTGACGGAAATACAAGACGAAACCGCTAACTCATGCTCCTGTCCATGACATATAATTCATTGATGCACGTTGGATTTTCTGCACCTTTGTAGTGGTATTAGTCATAACTACATAATCCTCGAATCTGAACGTGAGATAACTGCGAAAATAGTTATTCAACACTTAGCACGAAGATAAGGCCAATAATGGTGAACGCGGGGACATTCATTCAATTCAATTGGATGGCATGGATCAGTCGCACAGACGTGCTTCTTCTGTATAACATGTCTTTACTGACATTGAATATATTATTTTGTCTCTAACGTATATGTGTCCTTTACAAACGCCAATTGTTACATCGCGGTCTGTTACAATCCGACGAGTCGGAGTAGTCAATGATGTGACTTTCATGTGGGATCTTGTGGATTAGGTTTTCACATCATGACATATCTACAATTTTAGGATTGAGTCTACTATTATATTAGTACTAGTAACGAACTAGATTATAATCCTACACCTCAACGAGAATCAGTAGACTGTTCGAGATTCGGTGACTTTCCTATCAGATGATTTGGCTAGGGTCAAATAACACTTAACTGGCCCTACACACTTATGTGAATGATAAATAACTGACATGGTGATGCTTTGATGAACGAGAACTTGGTGAGAATTACAGAGTGCTTTCGTAAAATATTAAAATCATACAATGAATAAACTATTTGCACACTTCTTTTCAGTTTCCAGTACATACTTCTTCATTCTTCAAATTCGGTTGGTATTCCAACTCCCCTCTGTTTCTTTTTGTCATCTTCAATTCGACCTTCACACTCTTCTGCTCGTAGTCCCTCCACTTCCAACTGGTGCCACATACTATTTATATCAGTCGACGTAAGTAGCCTACACCATAATATTGGGTATTATGCATAGAGAACCATTTTTGGCAGCGTGTATTCTGGTATCAAGCATGAAACTGCAGAAATGTTGAGTAGGAGACTGAAGATGCCACAGGTATTCGGAGTTTGACAACGCTTTAACCAGTAACACCTTCTAATATGAAGTGTACCCACCAAGTGAAATCAAAAGACAGAAGCAAGGAGGTTCGATGATATATTTGATAAACTATCAATATGTCGAGGATCGTCTGGTCTAATCTGGCTAGTGATTGAGGCAGATTTTGAGCACGGCGTTTCCACACGTGATCTGGTGCGAATGCATGACCGAGCGCCTTCAGCTAGATGAGTCCATTAAAACTGTGGTCAGCATCGAATGTCGGAAACTTACAGAGCTATTTATTTTGGGGATTTATTTACCGCTACAAGTTCAATTCACCACTGAGCTCTGTCACATATATTGCCATCAATTTGCATGACGTTCACCTTTATTAATCAAGTTCGTAACCGTGGATACAAAGTGCCCATTGGCCATGAATAAGAATATAAGTATACATCAACTGAACCATGAAGAATATTAAGTCATATTCAAGGCTGATCACTACCGTAGCTGCTGCTGAAAATGTGGATCTCTGAATTATTATACATGATTGAACACCTTAAACCTGCTAGCTTTAATTTCCAGAAAATCAAAGTATCTGTAGATCGTTTATGTAGGTGATTGAGAGCCACACGTGTTGGACGGAAGTGGTGTGAAATTCTAGCTCACTCTAAACTCATTATGTTGTCGTGAAAATCAGGTGGTTGGCTTTGATAAGGACGCTCATTGGGCAACATCACACGTTCGCATTTACAGTTGACGGAAATACAAGACGAAACCGCTAACTCATGCTCCTGTCCATGACATATAATTCATTGATGCACGTTGGATTTTCTGCACCTTTGTAGTGGTATTAGTCATAACTACATAATCCTCGAATCTGAACGTGAGATAACTGCGAAAATAGTTATTCAACACTTAGCACGAAGATAAGGCCAATAATGGTGAACGCGGGGACATTCATTCAATTCAATTGGATGGCATGGATCAGTCGCACAGACGTGCTTCTTCTGTATAACATGTCTTTACTGACATTGAATATATTATTTTGTCTCTAACGTATATGTGTCCTTTACAAACGCCAATTGTTACATCGCGGTCTGTTACAATCCGACGAGTCGGAGTAGTCAATGATGTGACTTTCATGTGGGATCTTGTGGATTAGGTTTTCACATCATGACATATCTACAATTTTAGGATTGAGTCTACTATTATATTAGTACTAGTAACGAACTAGATTATAATCCTACACCTCAACGAGAATCAGTAGACTGTTCGAGATTCGGTGACTTTCCTATCAGATGATTTGGCTAGGGTCAAATAACACTTAACTGGCCCTACACACTTATGTGAATGATAAATAACTGACATGGTGATGCTTTGATGAACGAGAACTTGGTGAGAATTACAGAGTGCTTTCGTAAAATATTAAAATCATACAATGAATAAACTATTTGCACACTTCTTTTCAGTTTCCAGTACATACTTCTTCATTCTTCAAATTCGGTTGGTATTCCAACTCCCCTCTGTTTCTTTTTGTCATCTTCAATTCGACCTTCACACTCTTCTGCTCGTAGTCCCTCCACTTCCAACTGGTGCCACATACTATTTATATCAGTCGACGTAAGTAGCCTACACCATAATATTGGGTATTATGCATAGAGAACCATTTTTGGCAGCGTGTATTCTGGTATCAAGCATGAAACTGCAGAAATGTTGAGTAGGAGACTGAAGATGCCACAGGTATTCGGAGTTTGACAACGCTTTAACCAGTAACACCTTCTAATATGAAGTGTACCCACCAAGTGAAATCAAAAGACAGAAGCAAGGAGGTTCGATGATATATTTGATAAACTATCAATATGTCGAGGATCGTCTGGTCTAATCTGGCTAGTGATTGAGGCAGATTTTGAGCACGGCGTTTCCACACGTGATCTGGTGCGAATGCATGACCGAGCGCCTTCAGCTAGATGAGTCCATTAAAACTGTGGTCAGCATCGAATGTCGGAAACTTACAGAGCTATTTATTTTGGGGATTTATTTACCGCTAAATGTGAGATCAAGTTTGGTTAATATTCTTTCTATGGCAAATTTCATTCTCGTAATTCATGTGCATTCCATAATGCTAAATGTTTTAAATGTGATGAGATTTGACACATTCAATCAGTTTGTCCTACTACAGTTCATTCCGCTGCAACTAATGTTAAAATTTGTAGTTGTGATCTTATTATTTTGGGTGTTTCTATCGATCATTCATCGTTATCCACGAATTCGAAAAGCGGTATAGAGTCACATAGCAGACCAGAGTTAAACGAAATTCAGAATCCTTGTGAGATAACAGGAAAAACCATATCTGGTACAATAAAATGAGAAGTCTAATAAGCTGATTGATTAGAAACTGTTGTATAATGACATGTAAGTTATTTCATAGCCTATAAGTGTAAACATCTGCTGCTTCATTTAACGAGATATACTTGTGGACGATATTTTCATTGAAATATAAGTCCCTTGATATCATAAGCTTCTTGAAGATACTACACTTTGATACTGAGGTACGAATTTGCCCCAATAAGTGTTTGTTCTGCATGATAAGTGTTTTCTATTTTTACGCCGACAAAAGATGTAAATGATCTCAGGCTACTTTGTCCTCCTAATTATTACATTCATTTAAGTCACTTAGAGGTAGAGATTGTCTAAACTGATTGCTGAAGTTTCTGTTGGACCAGCATAATTTGGCTTTAATGGTCTACTGAAAGACTGAGGCGGCTAGGCGAGAGATTGTAACGTGGAGTCGAGTCGCGATTGACTATGAACACCATTACAAGAAGACTACGTGCTAGTTAACCAATAAGATCCCCGTAGGTCAATATCAGAAGGCAGATGATGGCTGTAGTCGAGATGAATTTGCTGGTGGTCTCGTGGTATCGAAAGAATACCGAAATCGTGCCAAAGGAGTACAAGCGTAAGTACTACGCGTAACCGAATTCGTACAAGTTCAAAGTCATCGGGAGAGAGAGTGAGTAATGGCTGTCATTAGCACAGTTTAGCAAACGAGCACAGTAAAACAATCACTGGTACAATTGGTTATAATAATAATTGCTTTCATTGAACCAATCGCGTTCTGTTGACAAAAGTAGGTCACTACAAGATCTTCAAACTTATATTTGTGGTTGGTTACGCGTTTATAAGAATGGTCAATGACTCCAAACTATACAAGCACTAAATGCTTGTTTGTTTGACTTAGCAAATGTACTTCTGATAGCAACAGTTTCGCCCAATATTTCTTGCTGTCCCCAGGTAAGTGCTTTTACTTTTTGTAGTTCCGCCATTTCTTAACATTTTGGATGGATCATATTCCGAAAGTGATAACCTAGTCAAACTGCTTGAAAGTAAGGTAAACTGTCGATTGAAGGTAGTCCGTCACCTTTCTTTCTCAAGATACTTATATTTTAAATAGAATTATTGGTTCACAACTATTTGTCTAGTGGTTTGAAAGTACTTCAGTTGTAACGACTTAGAGCAAAGTGATGACAATAGTGTGCTGAAACTTCTAAAAAACCCTCACTAGTGCTTAGTTTTCCAATTCATCGTTTGTGGATATTTGTTTATTTCGAAGATAATTCTCATCGGTTGGCGATCCAAAGAAAATTATTGTTTAAAGCACTCAGGAGGCAGCGAAGTATACTTTTTAAGAAGATAAACGCCCACGACAACAGACCAAAACACCCTCCAGTGCTTATAACTAGTCTGACTAAGTTAATTAGTTTATTACCTGACCAACAGACCATAACTGTTCTCTCAGCCTCTTCTGTTTAATATACATTGAGGGTCATGATTACATTACCAAATCAGTACGAAATTGCTTTAAGCATACAGAAGAGAAAACTGTATGTTTTGTACTTAAATTTATTCACTAACAAAAGACTTGAAGAATGAAGAATCTGGAGTAGTTGAAGTCAATTTACATGAAAAAAATACATAAGTTGTGAAGGAAGGTAAATTCTATTATTATTATTATTATTAGCAGGCTATACTAGTATACTCTAATGCTTCACTTGTAGACGATTTTAATAACTTTCCGGGTTCAAACATTAAATCCACAATATATAAATCTCTGTACGTTTGAGATTTCTACAAAAAAGCAACAAAGGTTTTTGAAATTAGTCATTCAAGCAGTTGATAATGGGAAAAATGGGAAAAAAACAGTTAGTTGACAAGTCAGGGGTTAATCAATTAAAAATTTAAAGATTGAGGTAGTTAATTAAATTTTCTAAAAACTTCACACGTAACATCTTTTAGGATGAAGTTTTTCCTTAAGTTCACAGAAGATTTTCCATCGTTTACTGTCTGTGATCTTCAAACCGTACAGTCCAGTTTGATTTTGTCCATCCTGACCGGTCATTTTTTTATCTTTAATTTTGATTCGAAGAGTCAAATATTGTGATAGCTCATGTGCTTTGCAATATGTATAAGAGCAGTCTACGTACTCATATTGTTTCATCAGTACTTATCAGAAAGATATTCACTATTTATTGAATAATTCCAAACAGAAACCTATCCAATTTAAAACTGAGTCATCAGAATCAATATAGTTGAGTGATCAACTTATAGATAAGTTTAAAAATAATTTAACCATTTCTTTGTCTAATTAAGCTAGTTAAATTTGGATTATCTGAAAAGTTTACTTTCGTAATAACTGTCTACAAATACACTTTGAGTGAAATTCAATTGCTGATAACAATCGCTAAAGTACAATATTGGAAAACACAAACTGGTCATAAAAGTGTACTGTGAGATTTTGAAATCGTTTGCCAATTGACATAAAGTGTAACTGGATTAATAATCAATTAGACTTTAGCTTGTGTTTATTGTTTTTATTACCGATAAATATAAACAAACATTTAATGTAAATCAGAAATCACTTTACTAATGACCAATTTGATGTATGAAAAAGATATTTCTGTAAACTCAAAAAAATTAATATCCTTTTTTTGATTCTAGAAAGTTGATTGATTTTGAAAGCAACCTAATCTATTAACAAATTGCTGATGATTCGAGGAACACGATTAATAAAAGTCAATAAAGTAATCGATCACTGAATTCCTTTGTCACGAAAGTTTGTGTAATTAAGTGAAGAAACAGCTTGGGACAATGACCAATTCATTTAGGTTGTTAATCATAAAGTGATATAAACTTTTTGTATTCATAGTTAACTGAATTTTTCGTATAATTCCACTAATTCACTATGCCTCTTTCAAAGAAAACATTTAAAACTTAACCTACTGAATTTTCTGGTTCTATCAGAATTTCATTAAATGAACGTCCATATGTTCCACGTATTAAATTAGTTGGTAATCCAATTCGATCAGCAAGCAACTGAATTTATTAGGGAAAAAAAATAAAACATAACGTAAGAGTTGTGTAAAGATTATTCATTATGAAAGTAGTTTACAATACGGACTGACCAGATAGCTAACAATTCAGTGCTGTACAGTTTTTAATGGGCATCTATTTGAAGTTTATTTCTTCAGAACATTCTAGGATTTTCACATTTTTCTGTCAAGGTCATTTACTAATGAAAACAATAGCTGTAAACTCAATGTATACTTTCCAATTTAATTGCAATAAATACATAGTTTTTTAAGACAAATTCAACAAAGCAAATATAATTGACTTATGTGACTGATAATTCACTAGATGATAATTATAGTAAATATCATAATAAATAATCTTATTGATAAAGAGTTGTTGATAAATTTCAAGATTCAATCCTCATACTGTTTTGCAAATTGGATCTGTCACGGAATAATTATGACACATCTTTTCTGTTTAATATTTCCATTGTTACAGTTTATTGGCTTAATATCATGATTACAAGCTTCGGATATCTTTCTAGTTGATTTTATCGACACGCCCAAGTTACTTGGTAATAAGAGTAATGTATGTTTTGGTTTTTTGTATTCAGAGGTTTGAGTAAATCAACATTCCACTCTTGGTTTAAAAGTGAAGTTGAAGCTAATACTATATGTAACAGAATTCATCGTCAATTGTGTAACTCCGATTAAGACTTTAATTTATGTTGTGGTTATTGATAAAAATACGTACTGAAAATCGAATTCACTCTAAACCATGAGTGAATTGTAGTTTCAACAAAATCTAAATGTAAATTAAATACTTGAAGTAAACTACTTACTTTAAAAACTAATGCACGTTGTAGAAAAGATCCTTGTTTAATTAAACCTATTGGTATTAAGTTAGAATTCAATTGACATCGTAACTGTGCCAGAGATAACTCATTTCTTAGAGTGAATTGTTCATCTTTGCTGATTGATCCTCCATAGCAAGAAGCAACAAATCTTGGGGATGTAAAACATACAAAAGAAAGAAATAATTTTATACAATAAGGAACGTTTTTTAAACATATGAAACTTCTTAAAGTAAGACAAATTTTTGTTTATGATGATCGTTATGATTTGTACTACATAATGTTGGATGAGACTCATTATGAGTTGTTAGAGAATAGATTTTAGTTATTGGATCATCATTTTTGTCCCGACTATTGTTCATTGTCGAATATTCTTCGGATATAAGGAAACAGCTGAAAAATGATTTTTGTTATTTGATAACTTTAATTGATATCGGTAAAATTGAATCAAACTACTTTCAAAACTACTATTAAGTTAACGAAATAGTGAAATTTGCCGAAGAGTAAGTTACAAAAATAGTGATACATAAAGCATTTGAAAAAATGCAGAATACAGTTAACGTAAGAAATATCGTGAATTTAATTTTATAGACTCATAAAAACAGTAACAAATATTACAATCACACTGTTATAAATGTGGTAGATAGCAGAACATAAGCTACTGAATCTCTACTTAAAAAAGATGATTTATGATAGTTATTATCGAAATTCACAACTTTTAGCTAAATGTCAATATAAAAAAGATATACCCTATGAACTATGTTAAAATAAAGTGAAACACTTGTTCAAAATTTCACTACTAGATGGATTATTTCACAAAAATAAAAAATAAAAAATATTGAATAAACAATTTTAAATTAAACCTACTCTCCTAAAGATTTTATTTGCTCTTTTAATTCACTTATTGGCGTAATTTGTTTAATTGCAATATTTAACCAATCATGTAATGTAGAATCAAAAGAATATTTCATTTCATTGAAATAATTTAAATCATCTTGTTTTAAATCATCAGTTTTGGCATCATTGGAATCTTGTGATTGTACATAATCTGACGATGAAACAATATCACTGTTAATAGAGATTAAAGATAAAAGCACATAGTTTTACCAATTCTAATGATAAAATCTAAATGAAAAAAAGGTTTTATTAAATTACACTTCCGTCTTATTAAAAATTATAAAGTAAGCAGCTAGAAGTACTTAATAGGTATTTATTTTACTCTGAAATAAGAGAAGTTATTATCGAAAACTTAGTGGTTACTCTAATATTTATATAATTATCTGACGAAATAGAAAATTGTCGAAATGACTTATTAAACAATTAGTTAGGAAAGTTTATCGAAAAAATGATCTTATCAGAATTAAATCTAAAACACAAATTTCCAGTATTTCTGCTTTACTATATTCATATGTAAATTTGAACTGAATTTAGTTTTGACTTTTGGGATACTTTTATATCAATATTCCTTTTCTAAGACTACAAACAACGGTTTGTAAATTTAAAATGATTTAACCATAATCATCAGTATCTTTAACCGAGACGAAAATAAGAAGTATAGCTGAGTCCAGATTTCTCACTTCATAGTATGAAAGTGTGATTCAAATAGATTAGTGTTGTGTCCATAACCATATAGCTGAGTAATATTAAAAAAATGTCCTACGAGAGCACGTTATTTTGGGAGTTGCAGACTCACTCTTTTAATCAGTGTCTGATTGTTTTGCATTTATCTATAATGGTTAGTTATAAAATTAAAAATATCAGTAACATAATAAGTTGTCATTGGTCCACAGAAGGGATTCTTCTTTTATGAATAGAATTAAAAGTAAATTCATACCATGCAATATTCGAAGCTAATTTAGTATAAACTTGCCAACATATTGTACCTAAGATTTAGGCTGAAAACATATGCCTGAAATTGCTGCAATTCATAATAAAAAATATTGGGAGAATAAAAGTATATACTAAGTTGTGAAAAGTTTTTCTGAATAAAATCGGATCAAACTAAGTTGTTATAGAGTGTGAGATTAGACTATTGAAAATATAAATGCATGTGTGAAAAAAAATTAAACAAAAAATTTAACTTCCAGATTCTGACCATTTTTGTAAATTTATTAAAAATATTGGTCGACGGTCATTCACAGATTGCTCATTATATTCATCCAATGTTAAAAATTGAGATGGATTAGTTATTTGACCAGGATCATAAAATAAATCTGGTATGTGATCTACAAAATCTGTTTAAAATAAGAAGTAGAACATTATCACTTTAAAATATTCAGTGCTAATTTAATTTAATAATATTTTGTCCATTAGATCAATTTCTTAAAAATGACAAAGCTCATATTATAATGAAGTGAATAAGAGTAATTTAGGTATTATGTATGGTTGATTGTCAGTCAGTCAGCATGAATGACTTAGAAACGAACATTTACTCCTATTGGTTGAATCTGACAAATCATTTCGGCACAATGACATGAAGTTATCAAGGTAGATAACGTTATTTGAGATAAGATAATCTTAAAGCTCAAGATCTACGACAGTACTAATAATGAGTGCATAAACATCAATTTCATTGAGTTGTGTCACACAACATTTCCAACATTAGTCATGATAATCACTGATAGTCTGCAACTAATAACATGGCTCAAACCAACAGTCAGTTGTCTGATGAAGTGATACCATGTTGCTCCAAGCTTTCTCTCAACCTGCTACTACACTAGGAATCATTGCTCTTCAAGGTGGAAGACGGTTGATCATGCGTAATTCCAACATCCTGGAATGAAGCGGCTATCACTCCTAATCTTGGAAGAGGGTCTACACCACTTATGCAACAACTGACGTGAGGAGTAAATATACTTCTGACTGCGTACAAACTATTGGCTTTCATCAGACTTAGCAGATTATTCAATGTATATGAAAAACTAACTTATTGATTCTCGTTCTGACTGCGGATGTAGTGATTGCATTTTCGCTTCCTGCTAAAGGTCAGAGCACCACCATACTTACTTATAGCTAACAATAATGGCGTTTCTTGATGTGTGTGTTGCCTTTGATTCAATGGACAGGACCTTCCTCTGAGACTGTCTGTTGAGTACAGGTGTGCTTGAGAATCTCATTAAAATCTTGAGGGTTCTGTACACAAGCAGATCGAGGGCGTACAAGCTCCACTCCCTTGTTTCTTTCAAGTAGTGGGGTTAGGCAGGGTTGACCGATCTCTTCAACTTTGCCATCCACGACGTTCTACAAACAGCTCTAGTAGATGAAGGTAGTGGTGGTGCGGATCCGTTACCTGGAGGAAAACTTTCCTACCTTGATTATGCGGAGGATATTATCTTACTGTGTGATGATACCCAAGTCAGGTAATCCGCACTTATTCAGCTGGTGATCAGCGTCCATTAGCATAGTATGTACTTTGCACCTTTTAAATACAAAGTAAGTTTACAAGACCGGTAGAATCCTGTGGCTGTACTCTTTATTTGAGGTGAGCCATTAGAATTAGTCGGAAGTTTCACGTAATTGGATAGTTGTATGGGCGTTGGTGGTGTCGTGAGTAATGAAATCAGTCTACGCATAGTGAGAGTCAGAACATCTTATACTAACTAGGGTCATCTTTGTAGCCATTGTGATATTATTCTGACTGTAAAAGATCAGGCTTACTCTGAGTTGATGAGAGTAATTCTGCTCTATATTTATGTAAACCAGTTTCCCTGAGCGGGGGATGTTCAGTGACTTCATTTGTTCGATAATAGTTGTCTTTAAAGGATTGCTGACACTTGATAGAAACACAATGTCAGTGATACATAGGTTCGATAATATATATTCGGGCACAATTACGATCATTCAATTGGTGTCACCATCCTGAAATAACGATTTCCGTTGCTTAGGTGTGTACTACGAATGTATTTCCAGCGAATTCCATATCGTGCATTGCTTGACAATTCTGGAACTCGTTGGAAAAAACGAGTAGGTGATTAGTTTATGTCGTGGCTCTGGTGAGAGTCAAAGAGATGGTTAAATTTAATGTTTCGATATGCTATTAAATACTACATATTTTTAAATAGACGTCTTTCCTTCATTTATTTATTTCTAATTGAAATACTCATCCTTTCCATATTTCATAACAATTTCATTTCCTTATATGTAAGGCATATAATAATTTGTTGCTTTAAATAAATGTTTTAAACAAGTAAAGTAATGAAATAAACTTCAATAGCAACGAATTGGTAGAACTTTAACTGTATGCGTGAAGACGTCCTGATTATTACGAAGAAATGATCATAAGTTTCTAAATATGTTCACTAACATGAAACTTGCTCAACATATACAATTTATTCTGGTTCTTGCTGTCCTCAGTATTAATGAATTTGTGAATTACTATTACGACTTATATTTACATGCATCAACCTAAAGAGACATACCAAACTGAAAAATTACTGATATAATACCTGCTACAAGACATGTATAATCCTTGATAATCAACGACAATTATGATTTAGTACACAAAAATTCTGAACGTCCGGTAAAGACAAAGCCAACTATCTAAATGTTTTTTTTTCATATGGGTTAAAATCTATTGCAGTTTATTAATTTTTTAATCGATTAGAAAAATTTCAGTGATAATTTACTCAAACATCACCTCACTTGGAAATTTAAGTTAATCCAGTTGATGTAAAACTAGCAGAAGTCAATTAAAGCTGTTACTTATTAACACAACTAGGGATTGGATTTTACAGACTTTGATAAGTACTTTGATAGAAATCTACTTGAGGCTAAAGTAAAACAAATGAAAAAGAATACAGGTATGATATAAGGAAGAAAGTTGTGTAACTATTCACTTTCGGTAAACCTCTGATAAGTTTGGATTGAAATAATTGAGACTACCGTCTAGTGTTTAAAGCACCACTTGAACATACATGGGCATAATGAAGTATTACATATATACTCAGCTGATCCAAAATATTAACATATCGACACTGTCTGGCAATGATAGATATCAGTTCAACTCCTGTAAAGAAGCCTACGGATTTTTTCAGTGTTTATTGAATAATATACTTAACAAATGACTTTAAATAAAATTGTAGAGATATAAATACATACCTAAGTAACCAGTTAATGCGAATTTCGCCATTAAATTAGCATCCAGTACACGTTTTAAAGCTAATTCAGTAAAAGCATTTTTACGTGTTATAGATTCATTCAGTGTTTGCAAAATAGTTATACCACTAAAATTTGAGAAAAAAATAAGACTTTAATAAACTATTGAGCGAATTTGTGAAATATTAGTTTACTGCAATGATTTTGAATAAAGAAACAGGTTAAATAATTAAATATATGATTGAATTAATTACAATTAAGAACTTAATGAAATATTAGTAATCCGAAATGTGTGATTTCAAAGAATAAATTTATAAGTTTAAAGTAATTATGATTTATCTCAATGGTCGATATCATGAGTCAATTGAAGCTAGAACACCATGGAAAACCTGAAGGCACTGAACGGCCGTTTCGTCCTATTGTGGGACTCCTTAGCAGTGCGCATCCACGACCGATCCCTTGTGATGTGAATTATGATTTATATAGTGAAAACTATTAATCATGTAGTATTTGTACAACATCCTACTTAAATAACAGTTGGTAATGTTGATTTCATAGAGCATGAACAATTTAATTTGTGTCTCTGAGCCTAAATTAACAATGACTTTAAAGTTATAATGTAAAGTATTTCTTGTAGCATAATTCGTTATACCTTAATACAAAAAATGAATCGTGAAGTTAAAATGATCAATAAAATTTCATACATCTTGTTTCTTAATAATCCTGAACAAAATTAGAATAATAAGATTTACGCTACTATTGTATTCCAAAGGATATAATGAAACTTCAATGAATGAATCACCAAACCTCAAACAAAATTGTGGTTCAAAATTCAGCTATCATTTATGTACAGTAGACTAAAATGAACAGTTTAAAAGCTTGATATGTAAAGGAATCTATTTTAAATCGATTTTATTAGATTGTGGGACGCAAAAAAAGGAAGGAGAAGACGACCGGTGTAGCAGCAGACTCAGCAGCAGTAAGTCTCAACATACACAAAGGGAAAAGCAAGATTGTCCGATACAACACAGCATGCAACAGTCGAATCACACTTAACGGAGAAGCTTTCGAGGATGCAAAAACCTTCACATATCTGGTCAGTTTCATTGATGAGCAAGGTGGATTTAATGCATATGTGAAGGCGCGATGCGGCAAAGCAAGAGCAGCATATTTACAATTGAAGAACATCTGAAACTCAAAACAACTCTCAACCAACACAGAAGTCAGAATTTTCAATACAGATGTCTAAATAGTTTTACTGTCTGGTTCGGAAACTTGAAGAACGACGAAAACAATCATCCAGAAGATACAAGTATTTATTAACAGCTGTCTAAGCAAAATACTTTGAAGTAGAAGGTCAAAGAACATATTACGCCGAGAAAAGGAGACAGAAATGGAAAGAATGAACAACAATTCAATAGAACTCGAAAGGAAGGCCCAGGACAGGGTGGTTTGGAGTATGTTGGTCAGCAGCCTACCCTCAAATGGGAGTAACAGGCGTAAGTAAGTAACCTAAGACTGTGGGACTCACCTCCGAATAAAGACTTTGCTTTATTAGTAAACTAACTTCATTTTTAAATCTCTGTAACAATTATTTTATTGTTAAAGGGAGCATGCTAGCTAAATAATTCCTAAATAAAACAACAGGACCATACTTACTTCAATTGGGATAACGTTACAGCAGCTGAATGGTCAGCTGTTAATGAAGCGATAGCCCAACACGCTGAACGACGCACATCATTATTTGTTGACTGAATTAAATCAAGTAAACTCGATAAACCACCCAGTCGAACAAATTGTTGGATAGTATGTTGTTCGGATATTAGCGAAGCCACAGCTAATGCAGCTTTAGATTGAGTTAATACTGAACTAGATTAATTTAGAAACAAAATGATGAAAGTTCTATAAAACGTATTAAATGTTTGTAATTGTCATGAAATCTTCTTCAGAACCCATAAAAACCGTAGAATTTATTTATATCAGCCGATTCTTAAGGATGCCACAAACTTTTCCAGTGGTATTTTAGACAAATCACTTCAACAAGGCCAGTTTATTGCTTGGTAATATACGTAGTATACGTAGTAATCATTCTATGTAGAACATTATTTATATTGAATAACCTAGCGGCAAATCTTAAAATTCAGTCACAGGTGAAGCATGCTCAAATAATTTCTGTGATGTTAAACGATCTATCATTTCTTTGACACTTCTGACCACTACATTTAACTTATTCGAATAACTTTTGTGTGTCGATAGTACTACTTAATAATATTCAGTAACTAACTTCATTTTCAATCATTTCGCTTACGTCGCACTGTTTCTGTATGGTGGTGTTAACTGTTTACCCGTTCTTGTAACATTCAATTTAGTATTGAAGTTGATACTTATTTATGTTTTGAACACAGGCATTGCCATATCCTATTTTTTATAAATAGTCTTTAAATAGCTATTCCTTTGGTTATATACCGACATGATAAAAGTTGTAGACACGTCACGAAATGAGGTTTTTATTATCTTGGATATATTTCCGGAATAATAGTACCGTGTTTCAAAAAATCTTTCTTTTTGCTTTCGGGAATTTACACGTAACTCAATAATTGGGTCAGAAGCTTTGATCGAAGCAACATAATGAAAGATGTATTTCTGTAAACTTCAGCATTTAATTCACTTGGTATTGTTTTCTTAAATCTTCCCATTGATGTTTTGGACTGCAAGTGATCAGTTTCTTATTGACATATGTGCATAATGTGTGCATTGCCTCGATATTGGCTTGATTCACAAGCATTCTAAGCAAAGATGGATAGTGGCTAGTAGTGGAATCTATTGGATTCCATCTTTACTCAGCGTTTAACGTTCAAGATATTGAACTTTAGCCAGCTTCATACCTATCACTTTACGAATCTTGAAACAGGGACAGATTAGAAAACAGCCATATGGTCGATGAACTAGTTGAGGATTAACAGGGTAAACGAAGTTCCCATACTTATTTGAATTTGGTTAGTTTGCTAAATATTATTTTCACATATACGGGACAACTATTGTCTACTGATGCCCCACCATCAAATGAAATATAACGTTCTACGGATAGTCATTATAATTGTTGATGATTTGTGTATTATCAATACAAACTCATTTCTTTTATAATGTTTAACTGATTGGTCATATCACCAAGAGAAAATTATTTCACATGATAACAAGTTCAACTAGTATAACAAATTCATTTTAAAGATTAAGATGTTTTGTTTTTACAACAAATAATGAACTAACTTTGAATTTAAAGTTGGTATAAATAACTTAGCCGTTATTACATGTAAAACCTTTGGTCGAGTAGTTTCTTCAGTAGCCAAATTCGTCAGTGCAATTAATCCACCTACTGTAATTAAGTCAACTTCAGGATCACTTATATGTAAACAACTAAGCAACGCCTCAAGCCCTGAATTTCGACTTGCAACCTCTCTACAAAAAAATTAAAGTGAAACGAGTATCAGTACAATGAATTACATTTATACATAAATTGTGTAGTTTTGAATTGGGAAACACAAAAAAACGGAGTCGTTGGAAAGCTGGACTTCTATAGGACATTTTATCTGCAACTCAGAAAAAGTGAACAAAAGCACATTTTATGACCAGACACATAACTGCCAGAAAGAATAAGCAAACTATTAAGCTTAAGTATTGAAAATAAGGGAAACGGAAAAACCATCCAAATCATATTGTTTAGTTTGAAAATACATTCTCATAATTTAGAGAAAGACAGTGTGAAATAAGGTATCAAACAAGTAAAACCCCTACTAGATCTCAGTATCTAGTATAACTAACATGCACACCAATTTCGAGCCAGAATATGATCAGATATAAAATAATGTGTAAAAGTGTTCAATTTCAAAAAGTTACCGACAAATCGATCCATTTCCAGTAGTCAAAGCGGCTAATGCTGTAGCTCCAGCTGATTTCAGTTCACGATGATCGCTCCGCGTCATACGAATAAGTAATTCCGGTCCACCTACGTATTTTAAAGAACGAAAAAGTTAATTAGCAAAAGGTAGTATCATTTATATTACCTAGTTTTTACTAATAAAGGAACCTAACATACTCATTTAACCTTATTCATTGTTCAATTATTTGATTCTTTCGTGTTTGATTCCGATTATTTTTGAATATACTACGGGTTGGCTAAAATAATATAGCCATTTCACTGGGTTACCAAGTTACTTGGATCGCCTGTTGATGATCCGTCGTCAACTTCTATCACAGCTTCTTTGTTTTTTACATAAGCAAATTAAATTATCCTGCTAATTTTTGTGTAATGACCAAACATTTAGGGACTTAAACTATATCACTAACAGTAGCTAATAGTTTTGCTCCGGAAAATCAAGGATGAAAATTCATTATAAATTATGATGCAGTTCATTTATGAAGTCCAGATCAATGTAGTCTGCCTTCATCTATAATCTTTATGTAAAGATTAGTAATACCAATAGGTTGCTCAAAGTAAATCCAGCAGAAGGAAGTGCTAAATTGTAACTGAGTGATTAAAAGACAAGTGCGTTAATTATTAATTCGCTGCTTCACAAATTTCGTGGACGTCACTATTTTTATTTGAGTAGTGGTGATTTAACTCTTCTTGAATGATGAGTCAATCCAATTAATCAGAATATAAGTATGTCCTGAAACATTACTATCATTTACAATTTTAGAATTGAGAATTACATCATTTCTGGCCATACTTTTCCTAACTCAATAAAATCTCTAATTTATTCTTCGTCTTTTTGATAGAGTTGGATTATCCAGGATTGTCAACCAGTAAGAAAATCTACAAAATAGTCATAGTACTTCACAACAGTGAATAGGTAGGCTTTATGAATCCTCTCAACTTCCAGTTTAGAAAAACTTCTATAAAGAAAAGAACCTGTCCCTATTGGGTTACACTGAAAATTCGGGAAAAAGTAATGAAAACATCCGTATCACTGTAACCGATTCCAAGACAAATGGTTTAATATTATCGACTAACTATGTATATTTCAGGTTGTAAGATCCCTATAACTGTCTAGAAAATTCGAAGCTGAATCGTCTTTGAAATTGTCTGATATATAAAAACGAAATTCTCAATAAATATTTTGAACGGAGACTGAAATTCTACATACGTCACGAAGTGTGTTGTATTTTATATAAATAGCAATATTCGAGGTCATAACAACTTTTAAGATTTAGAAAAGCTCAAAATCAACCAACGAATAACCATACACTGTAATTTATTGTCCTATACCAATGGAGATACAGAAGGTCAAGACAAACAGTGGATTACACAGGTCACTTTCCTGATTTAGGATAAAATGGATCGTTTAGCTTTGTGAAATGCTCAATTCAGTTTCAATCATATTTGGTCTATATACCTCAGTCGCAACAATAGTTAAGAATGGCAAAATTCCAAATATTATTAAACTGTTGGATTTCGTTGTTTTATGTAGATAGCGGCATTTGTGGAGAAATTAGTTCTAGGGAGATATGATACTTAATGCCATATAGTTCAAATTTACACTTTCAGTAAACATATGATAAAGTTATTATACGGTTTTCAAAAACATTGATACATAGAGTGAATGCGATATCTTTGCTAATGAATATGCTTGTTTCTGAAAAAAAAAACATGAAAAGTTGGAGTTTTTTGTAGTTGGGTTACTGGAACTACTAGTTTCCAAAAATGGTAAAGTGTATTGAACTTAAAAATGAGACATATTAAACGCCTATAAACATAATATTCAAACATGTATTTATGTGTAGTCGAATTCGTGGTGACTTGTTTATTAAACTTTTCCATCTCTTTCTTAAATAACCTGCCTTTTTTTAATCTACAAATCGCTTCTTTATTAAACAGTTAGACTAGTAAATTTGGTTGAAGTTAGACATTACCACCGTTGGGTGCCAGGTCAGTGGTCTAGTTGGTTAAGCGCCTGGCGCGAGACTGGTAGGTCCTGGGTTCGAATCTCGCAGGGGGCAGGGTCGTGGGTGCGCACTGCTGAGGAGTCCGGTACTAGGACGAAATGGCCGTCCAGCGCTTCCAGGTTTTCCATGGTGGTCTAGCTTCAATTTATTCATGATTTCAACTATTGAAAATATCAATATGTGTTTACTGTAGACATTAGTAATGACAACAATTTACAAAATGAAAATAAACTTACTTTAACATTTATGACAATTGACTTTAGGGTTAAGAATAAATACAATCAGTAAAGTTGTAAGTAATTATTTTAATCTTTTGGTTCGCGATCTGTTATTTCCTTTGAACTTTTTAGTTAAGGCTTACCAAATCGTGCAATCAACAAACATACATAATATCAAAAATATGTGAAAATATTATTAGTGGAAGTCATTGTTTAATTCCTCATTGGTTTTCTCTATATATTTACACCCATTAACTAATTGGCTCATAATAACCTCTTTAAATCTTCTCTTCCAACTGCTACATAGTAGACTATTACGTGATCTAGGTACTCATTAGATTGATGTTATCCTATTACTTGCTTACTTACTTACGCCTATTACTCCTCGTGAAGGAGCATAGGCCGCTCACCAGCATTCTCCATCCAACCCTGTCCTGGGCAATCCTTTCAAGCTCTTTCCAGTTATTATTCATCCTTTTCATATCTGCTTCTATTTCCCGACGTAATGTGTTCTTTGGCCTTCCTCTTTTCCGCTTCCCTTCAGGATCCCAAGTTAGCGCTTGTCTCGTAATGCAGTTTGATGATTTCCTCAATGTATGTCCTATCCATTTCCATCGTCTTTTCCTAATTTCCTCTTCAGCTGGAAGCTGGTTGGTTCTCTCCCACAAAAGGCTGTTGCCGATGGTATCCGGCCAATGGATGTTGAGTATCATGCGTAGACAGCTATTGATAAATACCTGTACCTTCTTGATGGTGGTTGTTGTAGTTCTCCAAGTTTCAGCTCCGTACAGTAGAACTGCCTTGACGTTGGTACTGAAGATTCTGACTTTGATATTGGTTGAAAGTTGTTTTGAGTTCCATATGTTCTTCAGTTGAAGGAATTCCGCTCTAGCTTTGCCAATCCTCGCCTTTACGTCTGAATCTGAGCCTCCTTGTTCATCGACGATGCTTCCCAGGTATGTGAAGGATTCTACATCTTCCAGAGTTTCGCCATCAAGAGTGATTGGATTGCTGTTCTCTGTGTTGTGTTTGAGGACCTTGGTTTTCCCTTTGTGTATGTTGAGGCCTACTGATGCAGAGACTGCTGCTATGCTGGCTGTCTTTATCTGCATTTGTTCGTGTGTATGTGACAGGAGGGCTAGGTCATCTGCGAAGTCCAAGTCGTCTAATTGGTTCTGAGCTGTCCATCGTATGCCGTGGTTTCCCTCAAATGTCGAGGTCTTCATAATCCAGTCGACCACCAGGAGAAACAGGAAGGGAGAGAGTAGACAGCCTTGTCTTACTCCGGTCCTTACTTGGAATGCGTCAGTCAGCTGTCGTCCATGCACTACTTTGCACTGTAGTCCATCGTATGAGTTCCGGATAATATTAACAATCTTCTCAGGAATCCCGTAGTGTCGAAGAAGTTTCCATAACGTTCTCCTATCTACACTGTCAAATGCCTTCTCATAATCAATGAAATTGATGTAGAGTGACGAGTTCCACTCAATTGATTGTTCGACGATGATCCGTAGTGTCGCAATCTGGTCTGTGCACGACCGGTCCTTACGGAATCCAGCTTGTTGATCTCGAAGTTGAGCGTCTGCTGCGTCTTTCATCCTGTTCAGTAACACTCTGTTGAAGACTTTACCTGGTATTGACAGCAGTGTAATGCCTCTGTAGTTTTCACACTTGTTCAGATCTCCTTTCTTTGGAATCTTGATGAGGTGTCCTTCTTTCCAATCCATCGGCACTTGTTCCTCCTCCCAAATCTTCTTGAGTAGAAGATGAAGCATGCTTGTAGTTACTTCGATGTCTGACTTCAGTTATCCTATTAAGATGAATGTTTTTAATTTTACAAGCCAGTGTCCTATTAATTGAAATCTGACTGCTTTAAATGCTAATAAATATTTACAAATTGTTTTTATTACCGTAAATAAGTGTTTTGATGATTGAGAAAAAATAACCCTGTTCATTATGTAACATTCATATTCTAATATGTATTCACCTAATTCAGCTATTCTATCCTGGCATACTGAACTTTCTGACAGTATAGCAATAACTTGTGCTGATGCAGCTCGTACACCTTCATCTTCATGAGATAATAGTGATACTAACATCCTTTCAACATCTGCATCGTGTAAAATTTTCCTTGTTTCTTCTAAAATAACACAGAAAAGATAAATTGTTTTGAAATCAAATGCAGTGCATAAAATAAAGAATTTTCCTAGAATGACAAAAATAAACACATTGTAACATATGAAAAAGTACTGAGTGTACTTATATTGCTATTAGAAAGAATCAAAATATAAGAGACTAAAGTGGAAAGGATGGAAAATAACACATGGTAATTTAAATTAGGCTAAACTTCACATATTTATGTGTAAGACAGTAAATGTAAGTTCTATGATCTGCTATCTTAAGCAGTAGGGTTCTCTATACAACATTTAGGAAAGCTTTAGTTGTTTACATTAACTGTTCCGACAGTTTGTATCTTACTGGCTTTGTTATCGATGCGATTTAGTCTGTTGTTGAGCATTTACTCAGTGTAGCATGATTTTAATTCATTTACCATTGTACGTTTGAGCAAGTTATATATTCCTAACAAACTATGTAGTGTATGCTACTTATATAGACAGATATAAGTAGTATGTAACACCAATCGGAAGTGGGATGCCTGGCAACAGAGGATGGTAATGAAGATAACAGAAAGAAAATCTGAGAGCAATCCAAATAACAAGAGAATTAGAGGAATAACGAAGTGTGTAAAGGACATGCAAAGAAGATGTGTAAATGATGTATTCAATGTATGATTTTCATATTTTACCAACCCATTGTGTGATTTTGTGTTAAACATTAAGTTAGTTAGCCCAATTAAGTATGTGCTCATCACAACTATTCTACTTACTTGGTTTATACAAGTTTTTGGCCCCATAAACTGAATTGGTTTTCTCCTGAAAAATTATACTTAACACCATTGCTCAGTTGAGGATGTTGTACGCATAGTTATATAGCATGAGAAAAACTATGCAATTTATTACACAAATGACATTTGAAGAGTAAAACTACACTTTAATACTCCCCTAGACAATCACTTCTATTACTAAGTCAATTCAGACACAACTTCAATGTGTGACATGCAGTTTAGTAGCTAGCCTACAATCAGTATAGTAAAATACTGCACAATGAAACATATGACTGATAAATGCATGTAGCATGGTTTAGCTGAATAAGTTATCAATATTTGGTGGTTTATGTTGATGAGAAATCTCTGAAAGGAATGTCATGTCTGTAAACTTGAGCTGTTCTTGAAAGGTTGCAGTGATGAGTTTTAAAAACGGTCATCAAAACTAAATAATCATACTTACAGAAATGTTGTATGTGCCCTGGTGTAGTGTTTTGTGTAGATATACTTGATTTACGAACTCTGAGTTATGTTACACATGCTGAGCAAGCACTCGCTAAAATGGCAATATTGACATGTCTAAGAATGGGCTCCGTTCTGGGGTTAAAGGTAAATGAGAGTATTCTGATAGAACCTGCATTAGGTCAATAACTATTATCTTTCACGATGCTGAAAGTTGGTAACTCCAGATTCTGACTTATGACTGAAATTTCAGGAATATTTTATAGTTTTAAATCTACTCACTTCCTTTTAATTGATATCCTCTTTCTTATGAGCATTGGAATCTAGTTTTAATGACATTTTATCAAGTAAATATACTGCTTTCAATTTTGTTTCGTCAACTAAATGTAAAGGAAAATAATCCTACTTTGCACAAATTCACCGCTGAATAGTAACAGACGTCGTACTCATCAAGTCTCCAGTACCGATAATAACCTATTGGTCACATTTTAGTGCAACCACTAATCTAGATATCGTTAGCACTGGATTTGCGAACATATCGTGCTAATGAGCTAGAATCGTACAAGTGATATATCGATTAATTTGGGACTGCAGATAATTCGAGGCTATATGTTGCGGTATATCAAAGAAATTTCACGGATATTATTATAAATTCGGGATCAACGGGAAATAGTAGCCAGTTGAGTGGCTCCTTAAATAAATAATATATAAAAAAATCTTTTATAGCAAGTCTTAAAAACGAAATATGAGAACTTCTAATCATACAAGTAGAATTAACTACCGTTCAATAATTGTAGGACAGGATTAATAAAAGTGAAAATACATTACACTGTCGATAATAAACATAAATGACCTTTAATATTAACTAACCTTTACATGCAGCTCTCATAAGTGCATTACATGTGTGAATTTTCGCTTCTGGCAAAGTATTTGACGGTGGTTTTTCCTCATCTTTTTTTCCTAATCAAATAGTAAATTATTAGTCATATACATATATATTTAACGTTTTACAAACGACTCATACGATTGTTCCAATTTCATTCATGTTGACTACTGTACTTCACTGAACCAAAATAAATAATTCCTATAACAATTAAACTATATATGATCAGTAAATAATGAAGTCTTATTAGTTACGACAATTAGAAGATAATAATATGGGTTTGAATTATTTATATAATGTCTTGATTCAATATGGTTGGCAAACAATTATATATATATATATATATATATATATATATATATATATATATATATATATATGCTATTGAGGTATACGTTTTATACGTTCGTTCCAGGAGTTTATGTTTAGAAAATAAATTATTACTGTTCAACAGTAATAATTGTTTGCCAACCATATTGAATCAAGGCATTATATAAATAATTGTGGTAATTCATCCTTAGAATTACGGGTAAAAGTAAAAACCTTTTATTGTATAGTATTTGCTATCTACAGGTTATGATTGCTTCATTTTATAAAGAAATAATAAATAAATAAACTAGACAAAATGGGTAAATTCTCAATATTCGCTCGGGCGCTGCAGTTATCAACATGATTAGCGTGTATTGAACAGTAAGTGAATAAACTATCTATTTCATAGTAGTTGTAGATTTTGTTGTGATAAACATTCCAGTCCTTGGCTTAACATAAATTTCACGTTCTAGGATATGGATTATCAATCCTCGAAATATCTAAGGCAGTCCAAAAACCTAAACCTTATATAAATTCCGTATAAACTCTAAAGCTACGAATGAATTTATCTGTTGTTGTTGATTTCTACGTATGCAAGGCATTTTGACGAGAAAATATTGATAATAATTGACTGGGTAAAGGCCAAAGTTCCTCTTTAGTATTTGCTTTGGCTTTAAATAGTTTTATAAATCGATTTTAAACATACCATCCGGTTCTCCTTTGCTGCTTTTTTTCTTATCACTTTTCTTAGGACTAGGTTTCCTTCCTTTAGTATTCTTGTCTTTATTTTGCTGTTGATTCGCAGAATTGACTTTGATATCACTTTCATTATAAACTTGACGATCAGTGATAAAATGCAATAATTTTTGAAGACTGCCTTGACTAACTAAATGCTGTGAAAAATGAATAAATGATAAATTCTTGCTAGATAACAACTGCATGACTAAAAACTCTTGTAAAGAGAACAAATATAAATGACGATTTAAGTCTCTGGTAGCTTTTTGAAGTGTCCTTCTTATAAACAGCGGATTTCAGTAAGCTTCTTACAACTTCTCGAAGTAATCTGTTTGAATAAACTATCATCATTGAAGTGAGTGTAAGCTTCCTTCACAATTTTTTTTGCAAAGAGTATCTCGAATAGCGAAATTTGACAGTTACAAGGCGAGGTTAAGTTGGATGCATCAGTGGATCTGATGGTTGTTGAAATCTTTTCCATTATAGACTATCCATCAGTTGTAAGATACCCGACGTCGTTCAAACAGTCTATTGGGTTAGTGGAGTGTCAGATATTAGTCGTTGGATGTACTATGATCCCTGGTTGAAAAAATTCGAGACATGTACAAACTGTTCCCTATTTAAAGACAAAGTTTATTTTTAAGGCAAAGAGATAAACTGGTTATTTGGAAAAGTACGCGAGACTGAAAGAGTTTTATTTTTGAGGAATGATATGACTGTTTTACACGTTTTCAAAGAGAAATCAAGTTGTATATTCAATAATCATCTCGTTAAAATATACCAATTGACTTTCAGTAATGGACTGTTCTGAATGCGCTAGTAGAGGTCGATTGAGGTTCATTTTCTGTATTGATAAAACCACCATACCTATATCGATCAAAAACTATCGTATATATATGTATACTGTAAACTTCAACTTGAGTTAGTATGAGTTTTCATCCAAAGAGAAACTTTCCTTTGAAGTGTTACCTAAATCTTCGTCGTCAAAATCTAGGAGATTTTTGAAATATTCACAGCTCATAATATGGAGTTTGTTTTCAAATGCGCATAAGTAGAATTCATCTGACGTATAAACTTACAGTTATCTTTTGTCATAAACAAACTATCCTACAAATCCTCTTGAGAGTGTGTTATTGTAGGGTCGCTTAAGACAAAATTTCACCAATCTCCACCTAATATTAAAAATAAGAATATCTTAAAGTTTTCAAAATGAAATGTTCTTATAAGAACTGTTGTGAGATTAACCAAGTTACAAAAATCTCACAAATAGTAATCGAGTTGCAAAAAATTAATTAATTATGTGACAAAACATACCTTTACACATTCAGTATCGTCTAGTAAATTTGCAATTACTTGTAGGGCGGAAACATGTATATCGTTAAATTCCGGAACACCAATAATATCAACAAATGCATCCAATGCATTCATATCTCTCAAGGCTGTCCTTATTATACCTTTAAAAACAAATATTTTTGACAAAGATAATGACGAACACTAAAAAGGAATTAACTATTTAGAAAAATAAGTTATGGTGAATAAAATGTTAATACATATACATTTATAGAATATATCACTCATCAGAGTAAGTTAGTCCATAAACTTCAGTGTAGCGAAACCTTATATAGTAGATCAAGGCCAATCTAAATGCCAAGAACAAAGATAAGAGAAGGATTGAGCCGGTAACCACTGAAAGTTATAAATACTTAAAAAGCAGAATGATTTTTAAGCCTTATCTATTTACTGTTAATTCGACTTTCTTAAATACAGTCATCGTATTTACCAAGATATCTCAGGTAAAACAAGCAGTTTTCAACATGACTCTAAACTACTAAATATAAATATTTAGCAATAATAAGTTATACTAACGAAGTGGTGACGTGCTAGATAATATTACAAATTCAGGTAAGAATTATTGTGAATGCTTAGCAAGGCAGTTGAAGAATGGAGTGGATAAAGTGGTATGTGTTTTTATTTATCTATTAATCAATGAGCGAATTGAAATGAAAGGTGAAAAGATAGCTGACTATGAAATTTTTCATGGCGCAATGAAAAATAGATTTAAGTACAAAATTTTGATTAGTTATTGCCAAAAATCAAAAAAATCATATTTAACGTAGAAAATGACTATGGATTCATTAGAATACTAGGCCCTTGAGTAGCGGTTCACGATCTTAACAGGTTTAACAATATGAAGTACTATGAATTTAAAGTGTTGGGTAACTGATAAGTGTGGAACATTCCTAGAAGTAAATATTTGCTTTGTATATCTCACCTTGGAATCGTTATGATAATCTCTAGAAAATCGTCAAAGTGGACATTATTATATCACGGAAAATAAAATAGGACTCTAGAGTTGAGAAGCCTAGCATAATCATAGACATTATTGAAGAGTTTTGATGTTATTCTTAACAGAACAAAAACCTAGATACTCGTCAGTAGCTTATGGTTGAAACACTATCAAGGTTAGAACGAGTTCTTTTGGGCTAACAGAAATATTATGATGACTTCTAAAGTACCAAAAATAGTTTAAACAAAGGTTATATAAGACATTTCCAACGATGATGTGTCTAAGCTTTATCTAGATAACAAGCATTCTTGGGTCGCTACGCGAGATGCTCAGAATACTTTACTTCTTTAACCCCATCAGATAAAGCTATATTATTCGCCTACTTTAAGACTGAGTAGATTTATAATAATGTGTGATACAGTTTTTGTCACAGAAAATATTTTGTTAACAAAGTATAATTGTCTGACTTAAGTATCAACCAGCCATTGAATCACTTTTAAGTCAGTAAAAGCTATAGTTGCGCCTTTGATATACATTTATCAGCCCAAGTTGTCTAAAGTGGTAAAATAAGCGTAGATTATAAGTATTTGATCGTAGGCCCTGAATACTTGGTAAATAACCATGTGTCATAAGAAAGATTGAAGTTTCGATAATGTAATAAGAAGACGGAGATTATCAAAACTATGTGATGTATTAGCGCAATACAATCAAGTGACCCAATAAGAGCAGAGGATAAACATCCATCATCCTCTATTGCTAAACATATAATTGAAACAGGGCACAAGATTGATCTAAACTCGGCTTTTGTGGTATTATATAGAAGTGTAAAAGGGCGTATACTAAGGTTTATTGAAGCCTTAGCCATACGAAAATTCAAACCCCCTTTGTGTATTCAAAAACAGTTTGTTCTTACCTTAAACCTACCCTGGTAATATTGACTTATTATCCAGAGTGATTAGGTTTTGAATTGTGTTCAGATTATTATTAATATTATTATTATTATTATTACTCTTATTACTATCCTTATCTCCTCTTACCCCATTTCCACTCTAGTTGACCTTTTATTTTTATATATAAATGCTCTTAACAAGTATATGTGTGATCAGATTGTTCAAAATGTATTGCGCTAATATATCACATAGTTTTGATAATCTCCGTCTTCTTATTACATTATCGAAATTTATAAAAGGGACTAATTGTTTTAAAGATTGAAGTGATTGATATTCATCCTTTAGGCTTGATTGTGTTTCCTGACTATCATTCTGTGTTGTTTGAATAAACTAATGACTCTTTTGTACTTGTTGAATGTTTGATTTCGAATTCTAAATACAGTACATTCGTTAGTGCTTGTGTAGTACTTCTTGATTCAATTGCGTTATCCCTGGGATTCTTAGTTCATACTATAATTCAAATACTTCTAATTATCATATTGGCGTCGCGATGGAGCCTGCGATGGAACACTTAAATATTCATTCAACTTCTGAAGATTTTGAGGACTATTTGGAAAGGTTTGAAATCTGGAGCATGACCAAGAATGATGATGAGGATATTAATATTGTGCCACATTTTCTCACATTCATTGGAAAAGAAGCATATGGCTTATTAAAAATTTTGGCTTCACCGGAAAAGCCCATTTCTCTTCCTTATACAACTCTCAAGGAACTACTTCTAGACTATGCAAAGTATACAAATTTCGAATGCGGTAAAGGGAGATTTCGTAAAATAATTTATGAGGACATAAAAAATTCCACTATATTACGTCACCCCATCCCAGTGCATACTCAAGGTTGTGCAGTTCACGAAGATGGGCACAAGTTTAGTCAATGTTTTTCTTGTGGCAAGTTCCACCCTTTGAATTCATGTAAATTTCGTAATTGTAAGTGCTTTAAATGTGTTGATGTTGGACATATTCAGTCAGTTTGTAATACTACTGTTCATCTTGCTGCAACTAATATTAAGTCTTTTGATTTTGATCCTATAAATTTGAATATTTATAATGATCATTTATCTTTATCAACGATTTCAAAAGACAGTTTAGAGTCATATAGCAGTTCAGGGTTAAATAAAACTCAGAATCCTTGTGAGAAGACAATTTCTAATGAATCAACATATCAGATTTCTCATGTTATTGTACCAGATATGATTTTTCCTAATGATTCACATATTTCTGATGAAATTTCTTACAAATCTGAGGAAAATATTCCGAATGAACCTAATGATGATCAAAAAGCTGATTTAGTTTTGATAGATGCTGATTTTTCTAATGATTCTTTGCTCTGCAATGACATTCTTAATAAATGTGAGGAAAATACTTCAGAAGAATTAAATCCTGATGACGCCATATCAAATGTTATTTGTCCTCATAATGTATTTGTTTCTTATGGGAAACCTGTTCACTGCGAAACACAAGTACTAAATGAGTTCGATTTTGATTACGATTCATATGATTTCACATCAACTGTTGTTTATCCTTATCATAAATTCACTTCCAATGTATACTCTAGTCAATGTGAGAAAGATGTTTTAAATAAAGCCACATTATTCATAACTTGGGGATATAAAGATCCGACATTATTTCGTGGGGGAGGATAGTCTGAATGTCTATGGTCGAAATTCTAGGTAGCAGTAGTTTCAGTACTCAACCGACATGATGATCGTACACAATCCCAGGAACCAAATAATACAGAGTCTTTATCTAATACATTGTCGGACAGACAGTATGAACTTAAGAAGAACACGTACAATTGATTACAGACACTTGTACTCTAATTTAAGCTGTGGCGGATGTGGTGTTTGAATAAACTAATGACTCCTTTGTACTTGTTGAATGTTTGATTTCGAATTCTAAATACAGTACATTCGTTAGTGCTTGTGTAGTACTTCTTGATTCAATTGCGTTATCCCTGGGATTCTTAGTTCATACTATAATTCAAATACTTCTAATTATCATACATTCTAAAGAATACAGTGTTATAACTGAGCTGTGAAAATCATTTTAAAGTTTATTGTGAGATTGATAATACTGAGGAGCAGAAATTACATCACGATAAATAACCTCACGATTTAATATTGTGACAGTTGATTTAACTTGACGTCTTAAATGCCTGTCAAAACAAAACGTACCAAAATCTCAGATAAAGAGTTTGGTTGAACAATGTATCACATCAGCGTGTTTTAATATAGTAAACGCCACCGTCTTGCTGATAAATATGCTGACTGATGTGGTCTTGCTTACAACTTAATTAAGTACTATGGTAGTGAGAAGATTATTAACAACAATGAAACTAAAATAATATTTCAACATAAGCATTAAGGGCAAACGTATGATATCTAGGTCCATCTTACCGCAGAAACAAATCTAAAATATTATTGTCACAGTTTGCCTAATTGGAATTTTAGCAGGAATGCTTGAGGATAGAAATGTTTGTCAGCAAATCGTAGATATGTCAGCATGACAGCTGCAAAAAACTTTAGGAGTGTAATCATAATGCTTTGAACAACGGTTACTGTCGGACACCGACTAGCATAGATACACATTATAATAGGCACACTACTAGCCCGAAACACTGTGATCTGGTCAATAGTTTGAACGGAGGAATAATGTTGTTTGTCAGTAGTTTAGAGGTACCGGAGCTTTTACTATGATCAAATACTCTCAAATATAAGCAACGCTTGAGTATTTTTAAGTATTTATAATAACTTTTCATACCAATCATAAAGATCTTTCAGATACTTACTGTCTTGTGCTGCTCTAGCAAATATTTTTAACACCAAATCTTGAATAATCGGATACTCCGATACCAACAACTCAATCAGAGTCTCCAGACCTTCAGAAGCCTTCAGCATTGGGCGAGCTTCAAAGTCCTTTCAGAAAGAAATGAAATATTTTCAATAATACTTGAAGTAACATATGTATTATATCCAATGTATTCCTCTGTACATCTGGATCAGGTGATTTTAAACAAGGTATAATAACAGAGAAGCATTTATGCTCTATAAGCTCGTATATACCAGCATATTCCAAACAAAGATGTGACAATGTCATTGCAGCAAATTCTTTTGTTGTCTCAAATTCTACATTGAAACAACAAGTTTGGAAGATAAAACAAAGCATACAAACAACATACCTTCTGAGTCCAAAAGCTTGAGAAGATCAGTAACGATATTTGGCAGTTTCCTAATGATAGACCTTGCAGAAGGAAGTGACGATAGAACTCCATAAACAAGTACCGCATTCCTTTTTACTACCCTATTTTCATCTCTTACTAGGGGCTGGAGGCACTCTAGAACATTTAATGATATCAGTGCTTTTTTGTTTTCGTCACCTAAATATAGTTAATAAAATTCAAAGTAAACAACTTTTATTTGAAAACTTGTATAAGGCTTCACAAGCTCGAGTTTTAACATCGTCTTCAGGACTTCTTAGCATAAGTACAGCTGACTCAGCCTGATGTAGACCAACTACAACCTCGTCGAACTTGATTTAAAGATAAGAAATCTATTTGGTCTTACAGAATCTATAGCCGACATGTCATCACGTTTGCTCTTCTTTCCTGCCGTCATCTCAACCAGATTTCCATGTAACGCCAATGTAGTAGTATGCTTGATTTTAACAGGTGAATGCTATAGTTCGCAGGATTTACGGTGAAAAGTATGGAGAGGAGAATCTAGAAACCAATAAAAAACAAAGAATAGCATCGGGAATGATTGTACAATCAGTTCATAAAACGTTCAAGAAATTCTATAAAAATTCAGAGGAATTTTCAGTGGAACTGTTCCAAAATCCACCGAAAATAGATCAGATTCGCCCCACACTTCGGAGCTTAAAATGTTTTGGAACTCAATGAAAATATTATCAACAACAGGTGAGGTGATCTGGTTGCTCTGCATCTAACCTGAAAATATATTGCTTCGTTTGAGTGTACAGAGATTTTGGTGTGAAGAAATTACTATAAATAAGAGTGAACAAAATTATATAACTAGTTGTATAATTATGACTATATATAGTTAGAGGATGACTCAGTGACGACATGAAATGAGCTTAAAATTAACACCAAAAGCAATCAATCAAAAACGAAGGCGAAATCCGCTTGGAATTGAGACGGTCTTATAGTCGAAACTAGAATTACCAGGGAGGCAACGCTTCAGGGATATCGTCCACTGATGATCCGTTGTTTCAAAAAATGCACTGTCGGTTGTTATGACTCTAACAGACTAAACAAAATCCAGCTTGCTAAAAAAATTGATGTTACTCGCAGTTTCCGAGTTAAAAATATTTTCTTCATGTTCTTTGATGCCGGAAAACATTTTGAACCTAATCTAAAGTACATATTTGAAGAGTGAAAAAGATAGACATACTTTAGTAGAAATAGAATAGAGACAGCTCAAGTAGATACGTACCCAGGTAACAAAATTATTCCATGCTTAAACAGGATAAATAAGAGAAAGCAACGATCTAGGTCGTATAAAAGTATTGTTTATAAAGCTTATCTAACTGTCTAAACATATATCCTTGTACTACACAGCTAATACTCATTGAAGAATTGGTGAACTAATTACTGCATAAGTGGACTTAACGAAGAGCCTAAACTAAGTAAGCTAGTACATGGAGTTGGGAAGACAAACGCTTTGTCTATCAGCATTTTATTAGGGACACATTCTTCATAAAATGTCATATTTTTTCAACACGTCTTTATAGATTTTCTCTCTTCTTCTTAAGTAAGGGCGAACTGGATGACAAAACGATTCATGAATTTAATCAATCATGAATAACAAATTCTCATTACTTACCACACGAACTCTGAACGTTACAGTCGACTACCATGTGTCTCTGAATCTAGCCAGTTATTAGAAGTTTAATCGATGATGAGGCTACTTAGATTTAGCCTTAAGACTGTTTTGGTTTCAGATTCAATTCGGAATGGACAGGAAACTTGATGGCATGTGTTAGTCCTGGCAATGATGGTCTCTCTGTTGATTCAACTTTCTTTTGAAAGAGTGGACGGATGGAGTTTCAACCACGTGATGAGGTAATGTATTCCACTCGTTGGTGATTCGACGGGAAAGTCGATATTCAGCTGACAAGTAATTTGCTCTGGAGTTGTGAACTGTTTTGGTGTCCTCGCGAATTCGCTGTTTTCGAAGACATATCAGGTGCAAATTTATCGCCAAGAAATTCAAAAAACTATTACCAAGTCACTAGTTCTTTGATATGACAACGGGAATAGGTTTAGCTTGAACAGTCAAGGATCATAAGAGAGCTTCGGTATTTTGGAAATCAGGTTACTTGCTGTTTTCTGAGCCTTTTCCAAAAGCTCAGTGTCTTTTTTAAGCAGGGGCTAGCCTCTTGTATGCAGTACTCAAGTTTATGACGCACAAACACTGTATACAAAGTTTAAAAAAATTTAGCATCGACATGACTAATGACCCTACGTATTAACAACAAAGTTCTAAAACCTTTAGCAGCTATTGCACGAACGTGTGTTATTCATCGTGTATGTATCCGTACCTTCATGATCAGTATGCATAACAATACACTTGGAAGTATTAATCAGCAACTGCCAGGTTTGAGACTATTCAGATAATTTCTCTAGGTCACTTTAGAGTTCTAAGCTATCGATCACACTTTGTGTTGCTCTCCATATCTTGACATCGTCAGTATAACGCAAGACCGATGATAATAGTAGATGAGGAAGGTCATTTACATGCAAAAGGAATAACACTGGCCCCAAAACTTTTCCCTGGAGCACTCCACTAAGCACAGTTTCCCAGCTAGATAGTTTTCAGTTTACTCGTACTCTTTGTTGGCGCCCAACAAGGAAGTCTTCTATCCACGTCAATAGATTGCCTCCAATTCCGACATTTTTTAGCTTATATAACAGCCGGTTGTGCGGAACCTTGTCAAAAGCTTTGCTGAAATCAATGTAAGCCACGTCTACAGGTAACTTTTGGTCCTTAAATGCGCACCAGCTTTCTCGAGTGACTAATAAGTTAGTCAAACAAGAATAACCTATTCTGAAACTGTGCTGTTTCTCCGAGAGGATTCGGTTTACATCGAGGTATTTAAACAGCTCTTTCCGAATAATCTTTTCTAAGATTTTAACAGCCACATTAGTTAGGCTAACGGGTCGGTAATTCTCAGGTTTATGTTTCGTACATGTTTTGAAGACAGGACTTACTATGGCGTTCTTCCAGTCTTTTGGTAAACGACCCTGCGTAACGGATAGCTTAAAGCATATACTTAAAGGATTCACAGCGAAGTTATCTAATTCTTTTAGTGACCTAGAAGGCAGTTCATCGGGTCACGTGAATTTGTCTATATCAAGCTTATTTAGCAAACCAAAGATTTCGAGTTCTTTAATGGTCATGATGTCCAGTGTTTGTGTGGGGGGATTTGTATGGACTGACGGGAACGGTGTTTCTATGGTATATACATGGCAAAAGTAGTTTGAGAAAACTTGGGCATTACCAAAGTCATCCTCCACTAATGACGAAGCAGTGTTGTCTCCACATAGCTCTGGAACATTTTCTTTTCTCTTCGTCCCTTGGTTTATATATGAATACAAGCGTTTAGGAAATCCTATGGATTCCTCGACAATTTCCTTTTTGCACAACCTTCTAAACTTATGGATGGTCGAAGCATAGGTGTTCCAAGCTTTTCGATACTAGGATTTTGTTTCATCAGTCCCCAGTAACGTTAGTCTATCCCACAATTTTCTTCTCTTACGGAGAAGGATGTGAACCTCTCCACTGAACCATGGTGGAAGGTTTCTCGCCCATTTGGTGTAGTCTAATCGATGCGGGGTACAGTACCTTTTAAGTATAAGTTTCGAAATACGTCCCAAGCTGTTTCAATTAAAGACTCTAGCTCTACTGTTCAATCTACTGAGTGTATTACACCTTGTATTTTTGCTTTCCAGACGTTAGGTCTGAAATGAGCGGACACGTGTTCGCGTTCGACAAATATATGGAAGTCAAAGGTGAGAACTGCATGATCACTTTTACCTAGGGGTGACATGTAGTTGAGGTTCGTAACGTCGTCCTCATAATGGGTAAATGTATGATCTAGTGAGGATGATTCAGATCCCTGGTCATACCTAGTCTCTTCTTTCACATGTTGCTTTAGGGCACATGTGATAACCTGAACAACTAGTTCCTGCTCGAAGGGATTATCTGACAATTCAGTTCTCAGATTTTTTCAGTGTACCATGAGTCATTAAAGTCTTCTCGGATTAGAAATCGATCACTTTGTGACCAAGTATTGAGACTCTTTAGCAAGACCTCATTTACCTCACAGATTGGACTGTGATAGATCAAAACAATCAATGGCTCTTGACCCTTGCATTTCAATTAGCAACTAACTAATCCACACATCCTACTCTCATGGGAGACGCTGTCGATAATGGCAAGTGGGATAGCATACCTAATGAATAGAGCTACTTCTCCTCTAAGCTTCTGGATTCTGTCGGCCCTTACTAACGTAAAACCCCCGAAATCAAGTACCATACTATCTATTGGCTGCGTCAACCAAGTTTTTATGACTGATTATATCTGGTTTTGTGGAGTCAATTTATACACCTAGTTCTGACCACTTATAATAATAACAATAATATATTTCTGCATGAGCAGGTACAAGCTTCGATCGTAGTGTAACAGATCCGAAGCTATTTATGTGGCTTCGTGCTGCACCCAGAGCTGCTTCGGCATAACCTCATAACCCGAAAATTTACAATTTTTAGGTCATTATTGCAAGTGTCTAACCTAAATTGCAGTTCTTTTTTGGCTTCCCGTCTTTTTACATGGTCTACCAGAGACAACTCCTTACGAACAAAAGCTGCTGAACTTTTTTAATTTGTGTCCATTCTCTAAAATTGTGTCCCGTTCATTAGGAGATTTGAATACTACTATGATAATTAGAATTTGAATTATAGTATGAACTAAGAATCCCAGGGATAACGCAATTGAATCAAGAAGTACTACACAAGCACTAACGAATGTACTGTATTTAGAATTCGAAATCAAACATTCAACAAGTACAAAGGAGTCATTAGTTTATTCAAACACCACATCCGCTACAGCTTAAATTAGAGTTTAAGTGTTTGTAAACAATTGTACGTGTTCTTCTTAAGTTCATACTGTCTGTCCGACAATGTATTGGATAAAGACTCTGTATTATCTAGAATGCACTCATTAGTATTAGAATTAACAACTGAAATCGGAACAGACTCACCTGGTTCCTGGAATTGTATTTGATCAACATGTCGATTGTGTGTACTTAAGACATTGATATCTAGAAGTCGTACAATAGATTTCCCGACATTCTTCAGAATAATCCCCGTGGATGGTCGAAGATCATTGCCACGATAATATGTAACTTCTGCAGACTCCAAACATCTCATATTCGACCGAAGAATTCTTCCTTTTAATAGTTTTGATGGAGTCTCTTTCGTCACCGAATGTCTGGCATTTCTATATTGCAGTAGAAAGGTATCTACTCCCCTCTCCATCTCATTAAATGTTGAGGCGGCAATAGAATCAATAGCAGTTTGTAACGTCCTGACAAAATTTTCCGCCTGACCATTGGAACAAGGATGCCTGGGAGCAGTAAACAGATGTTTGCACCCTATACCATTTAACCAGGTAGTGACTGCATCTGCAGCAAAATGAGAGCCTTTATCAGTCACTAACACCATTGGAACCCCTTCTCGACCAAACACCTTTCTTGATGCTTGAATTGTGAAGTCAGATTTTGGTGAAGTTGTGAAAAAAACTTCAGGTCACTTTGAAAAAGAATCAATGACTACAATCGCATAGTATTTGCCAAGAAACGGACCACAATAGTCTGCATGAATTCTCTACCAGGGCTCAGACGATACTGGCCATGGTATCCACTTCGAATGCTGATTTTTCAGCTTATGACACTTTTCACAATTGTTTGCTGTACGACAAATATCTGCATTTATCTCTGGCCACCAACATGTGAGCCTCGCCAATGACTTCATTTTTTCAACACCTAAATGTCTACTATGAAGATCTTCTAGGACAGATTTACGCAATGAAGGAGGAATAAGAACACGATCATTTAAACACAAAATACCGTCAGAAGTAGTAGATAGCTCATCCCGCTTTGAAAAATAGATAGGAAATCTACGTTTCAGATTAGCATTCCAACCTTTCCGTATAGCATTAATTATACATCCAAAGTATTTACGAGTTTCTCTAATGATATCTGGACGTTTCACTGGTAAAGGTTGCACTAACAAACAATCTGAAGTATTAACAGGTTTATCTTGTAATGACTGTCGAAAAATGTAGTCAACATGTTGAATTTGTTTGGCACTCCTGTGCTGAACCGTATAGTCATAGGCACTCGAAGCAATACTCCATCGTTGAACCGTAAGATTTTTCGGAGACGGTGCATTTGCCAGTGGAGATAGTCGTTTCATATCTGGTCTAAAACCATTACCATCAACTAGGTATCCAAGACATTCAAAACTAGATACACTAAATGACCACTTATTTGGATTCACTGTAATATTCTTCTCAATTAAACGACGCAATAAGGCAATAGGTCTTTGGTCATGAACTACCTTGTCAGAACCATGAACAATGAGATCATCTTGATAAACTTCAACACATTCAAGATCACTAACCACCTTATTCGTAACTTCCTGAA